AAGTCTAGGGCCATAGTTACAGTATTTCTGCTTTTCCTGTGCACCCACCTTGGTACCACTGTCTGTCACTAAGTCAGCAGTCAGCTGGTATGCATCAGTCCTGGTAACTAAACAAATATTTGAGCTAAAATATATTTTCAGCATTCTCATGAAGGCGATAGACTAACCTCCACGTGGTGCACCCTGAGCAACGTTTACACATACGGCAAAAAAGTCTATTATTCGGCAGTTGACTTCTGACTTCAAACTACCATGACCCCACTAAATGTCAGATTCGACCACTTCAACAGTACTCATCTTACGTTTTCTCTGCCTTTGTGTCCATCTGTCCCTTTACATCTGTGAATCACTCTAAGGGGGTAATGATAACTATCAGAACGCCTGCCATTTGAAATAAACAAACCTTAACCTTCGCGAAAGTCCAAATCAACTGTAGTCAGGAGATATTTAGTAGATAGATGACAGCAGTAATATAGACTTATTTAATAGAACAGCTTTAAAAGGCATCCTTCACAGATATAGCCGACTGAGCATTTACAAAATGTTGAAATTTTAAACTTCCCGGTTTTGATGAAAATATCTATTAAAACTACTAATAAGGTCTGCCATTTACGACTCTCTGAATATTATTTCTTAATAAATAAAATTGGCAAAATGATTTCTGTCGGAGATATGCTTGTTTAGAATAAGTGCTTTTCGCTTTTTACAAACGCATTCCCGAAATAGATTGCCAGTGTCCTATTCGAACTTTCAGTATTTTGCACAAAAACAATTACTTTTTTTCTCATCTCGAAGAAAGTAAACAAATCCACACAAATTTGCCTACATACAGTACAAAGAAGGGAAAAATTCCCCACTAACGCCATTCTTTGTTGACTTTATTACTATTATAAAATTAAGCTGAAACCTCTACTAAACATCTCCAATATGGGGGGGGGGTTAAATACTAATTCGAATATTGGACAAGTGACTTCATCGTATTCGAATTGTGTTCAGACATCATAGGACTGCTGGTTTCATTATTATTCAACAACTTTAAAAGAGACTCTTTTCCAATGAAGCTTCTGTTAGGACTCAACAAAAATGATTGAGCAGATAAATCGCGTATAGGAGCGTTGCATGCACATTATAAAAAGTTTCGAATGAACCCCCATGATAGCCAATTGAATGTTGTCTCTCGATATGACAGGTCAGTTGGAATAATTAGGTTTAATCGGAAGGCAATATTTTCTGTTATCTTAAAGGATACCACTGAAGACAAGGGTTTATTGCTTTGATTGACAAATTTGCTGATCTGTCGATTGGAAGCACTACACGTTTTGCCCCTCGAAATATAATTTCAAATTGATTGAACCGGCTACATTGACCACCGAGTCTACTCTGGGTAGTTGTAAGATGTGATAGAATTGAAATTTATCAGATCGCTTGTTTGTCACAAACAATGTGAATTCGACAAATAATACAGAGTTACAATTGCAAAAAACTTACTTTCTTCCGTCAGTGTTCACGGTTCCCGGATCGTTTTCCATTAATCTAAAACAATAAACTGCATTTAAACGAGCGAAGTCCATTTAATTCTCTTTAATTAGAGAATAGTACATAAATTGAATAAAACAAAGAAGATTTAATATGAATTTTGAATAGTTAAATTAATAACGCTTAAACACCTTGTGCATACTCATGCAAGGAATTAAATCGCAATAATTGTCCATTTATATCAGTTAGGTTTAATCTCAACTGACGACTTTGATTTATTGCAATAAAAACACATTTTTTATTCTGAATTTTCCCTACCTGAAGTGACTTCACACTAAATACCAAATAGAATTCTGAAAAAGGTTAGAGCAAGTTGAAAATATTCCAATTCTGATTTCGGGCATGCAACTTTTAAGAAGTGATATTGTTTCTGAAAAGTACTTTGTCTCATTTCAGAGGCCCTTAACCTTATCAGAGTGGAAGACATTTTCGGCATTTAACAGAATGAAAAATGTGTATCACAAATGGTTCTAGTTATATAGAATTGATATTACCTCATAAGGCCCATCTATAAGAAATAAATTCCCCAACCACTCTTATCTAGATTAACCATTCAATCAATAAAAAATATTTTTAATAAGTTTAGCTTATATTTAATGCATTTTCAGAAAGCAAGCAGGCCTTCGGACAATTCGTGAGTTGAAATCAGAAGTGAAAGTACGAAATCTAACTGCCAACTGTTCAGATAATATTTCAGAGCAGGAGTGAAATCAATACAGTAGTTTTAAAATTTGAATGAACAGTAAAAATGACTGCCTACATGCATCAATAGGTTTCTCTCTGTAGCAAGTGCTGACAACAGTATGACAACAATTAAATCAACACATCAGTTAATATTGAACATTACGGAAAATTTTAGCCTTTCTTGCAATCAAATAGAATGCTCTATTTTGAATCCATTGCGTTAGTTAGCCATCTGAAGAATCGGGAGCTTGGAAAGATATGACTACTTTGCTTTGAATGCATCCTTAATTTTCTATAGATTATGCTCTCCTTTCACATCTGATTGGACATTAGACTTTTTCTTTATTTAAATATTTTCATAGGGAATACAATTTCATTTTTGTCGATGTTTTTAAAATTTAACTTTGAATGAGATTTTCCATGCATTTCATATATGACCTTACTTGAAGGCGCGCAATCCTTAAAGCGTATCGATTTCCGATACCGAATAATAATAGACTTCATTAGTTTGCACACAGAAAATTTAGGATATTAAATGGTTTAATTCTAGCACACACAGAACAATTAAATGAAAATAAAATTCATATTTAATGAATGCGAGTAAATCCATACTTATAGAGTAATTTTTGCAAAGTATACTTACGTCCTGCCGTATGGATCAACACCGATGTAGAGGAAGGAATCAGCGCCAAAGTGCCGACGGAGGAACTGACGACAGTGAAGGTCAGTGAGGGTGACACCGTCGGGACTTACGCGGAAACTAACGACGATGGGTCGAAGGTGGGAGTTCTGCATTCGAAAGAGGGTATCCATAGCTGAACTCACTGCATTGGTACCATTCGAAGAGAATACATCAAAGGCACCCAAATAGAGTACCTGAAATTCTGAAGCAAGAAATCCAGAGATTATAAAGTGAATCATCAAAGTACCAACTGAAGAAACCTTTAGAAAAGTAAAAATAAAATGTTCAAACAGTGACGAGAAAAAGGACAGCGATTTGGTCGAGACTAAAAGTAAAATGCGAAGGACTTAGAATAACACATATTAGCAGTTATTAAGGCATGAAATTTAATTGTCTTAACCACAGACTAATGTAAGCCAACTTATTTGGTATTTATTCAACGCGCTCATCGACGAAGTCAGAGGTCACGAATTTAATGTTCACTGGTGTACACTTAGTGAAAAGAATGGTCGGACACACAGATTAATATTCGCCAACACGTGGCCTGGCAGAACTCGAATTTCTAGCCGACTGGGCTCAATGGTGTTACTCTCCAAAATCCAGGATGAAAAGTGGAAAAGAATTCTATTTAAATGTTTGAAAATTGATATAATAAATTCTCGAAGGCAGATACTGAAAACTCAGTGTTCATTCAACTCCTTTTGGTTTCTGCTCTTTCTTGGCCTTGTGATTATGAAAAGTTAGACAGCCCCACCCCACCCTCCTTCGGTTATGCTTGATCATGGCTCAAAAACTTTCAAATCGAAAATATTGCTACTTCAATGTAAAGATAAGGTAGACATAGAAAACACCGTACACTTGATCTGTCACATTTCAAATAATACTTGTTTTGTCTCAGCATAAAATGTCACTCCCACAGATAATACCTTCCTAACAAATGTGTACCAGCATTGACTCCCTTTTAATCGAGCATAACTATCAAGGTGTGGGACACTTTATCGCTCTGTGCGTCATCGTATGCCTGCATGTCTGCTCGCCAGGATTGGGAGGTGCGGCCGTACAACTCTGTGTGCAGCGACCGTACAAACAGTGACCAATCATCAACCTCTGTTTAACCTAATCCCCCATCCTGATCATGAGTAGCTCCCTGCGTGTACACACTTGATCCGCAATACCCGTCCTGAATAAACGTGCTCCGTGCTACACGTCTGTTTCCTTGATAGCTGGGCTATAAGTTAGCTGGTTCTGGAAGTCTAGAAAGATGTAGGAGAATCTACCAGAGAGATTTCTGTG